CTTCCTTCCTTAAATGATTAAAAATATTTTTATAGCCCCAAACAATTTTGCGATATTATGTAAGTTTGAATAAACATTAAATACTGGGGAGGAAAGCACAAACACACGTCTGAATGAGAAGAGAAATTGAGAAGTTGAAAGGTGATTCAATAAACTACTTTTCATTTGTTATTTACAGAATTATCCTATATTTGAGAGCTAAATTGCTCTTTCATTTAAAAGTACAATTTTATAAAACAGGTCAGTTTTCTTAAGAAGTTACAAGAAAGCTACCTTGATATTATTTTATATTAGCAATACATTCACATTATACATATAATAGCCCTATTCTATCAGTAATGCTTCAGTGACCATGACAATCCCTTTCTTCTTGATTTTCAATGCATTCCTATAGTAAAATCATTAGCTATGTATTTACATTATACATATAATCCCTATTCTATCAGTTCTTGATTTTCTGAAATGACAATCCCTTTCTTCTTGATTTTCAATGCATTCCTATAGTAAAATCATTAGCAATGCATTTACAGATTTTTATTATTACCGGAAATAGATTTTTGAAAAAGAAAAATATTACCAACAATAAAAATGTTGTCGGCATTTAATAACCCATTGAGGTTGCCATAAAGCAAAACAAACCAAACCAATCCATTTGCTCACTGAAAAAACAGCATAACATGATGAAAAAAAGGTGCCAAACTTAAAACCAAAGTTTGATCGTCAAAATGTTTATATTATTATTAAGAGGAAAGACCAAATTTTTTTTTTCATTAAATTTTTTAATCTTTTCTAACATGTTCAAAATTTTGGTTCAAAATTTTGTTTTATGTCAGTGGTTGACATAATATTTATGATTAGTTTGCAAAATCAAATAATTGTCAGATTTTAATGAAACTTTCAGGACTTATTTATAAATGCATGAAATTATTTCGGAAACTTTTTTTTTTTTTTAAAAACTTAATAAAAAATTTTTTTTTTTTAAAAACTTAATAAAATTTTTTTTTTTTTTTTACATATGTTATCCCCTACTTATTTAATTCCATGAAGTTTTAAGAAAATAAATTGCAATTTCAAAATTTATTTTATTAGTTAAAAGCATGACTCCTTGGAGAATGTAAATCATCAATATTTTTTCTAAAACAGGACACCCAGTTACCGAGAATCTGCTCTGAATTATAAAATACTAGCAGCATGACCCCATATTGCCCATGCTTGATTCAAAAATCGTACGACTCATACAGCAATCGCTATCACTTGACTTAAAATATTTTTGCCCTTCCTTGCCTTTAAAGAAGTGCCCTTTGCCGTGCTGATGTTGCTACATGCCTTACTTCTTGCCTATCTCACACTGCAAATTTTTTCTAAGCTCTATACTAAACATTAAATCTGTTATGAAAAAAGAACTAAACAAAATGAACACAAAACGATCAGCTTTAAAAAAGGACTCATAACTGGAAAAACCGAATGAAAAAGAATGTTAACAACAAATACTTTTTCACACCCAACCCAGTTCTTCAGAATCAGAATCAATGAGTTTAAGCAAGCGAATGAGCCAATTGGTGTAAAGTGCCATGCAGATTTAAATTTTCCCCCACTTGTGACAAATGCAGCTATTGATTTTTTTTGCATGCTAGCATGCTAGTTAACATTCGTGTCAGTCAGCTGTTGGCTCTCATGCTGGCCAATAGAATCTTCCTGCCTATTCATGGCAGCCAGCTATTGGCTCTCACTCTGGCCAGTACAAAATGGCCACAAACTACATGAAAACTGCCGTAGAAGCATGAAAAAATCGATTATTTCCACTATCAATGGGAGTTGGGAAATGCAAAGTCAGTCTTGGCCTTCCCACTAACTTGGAGCATGTACATGTAAATTTTGGTGCAAATCTGTCAAAAATTGTGGCCGTGCATTCATTATACACACACATCCTGCCTTTTATACATAGAGATAAAAAATGCAATAAATCTGTGATCTTATTTAATTAGAAAAGCTTTTAATTACTTTTATAAATAAGATTTATTAAGGACACTATTGTCTTAAAAAAATTTTTTTTCTATGAATAATGAATTTTAATTATAATAATTTATAATATTATAAATTGTTTAAAATTCATCATTACTTCAATCTGGTTAGGTGATATTGTTATTAAGCATAAACTATATTTATAAATAAAAATTGAAAAGCTCAATAAAACTCATTTACACCCAATATTTTTTAAATTTTAAATTCTTTTTTATGTATATAAAATATTATGTAACTTGCCCCTGTTTGAAAGTATGGTTGACCATACATGACATAATCAGAAAATAAGAGCGATGTCTATAGTAAATTTAAATTCAACATTCCTAAAATTATATTATGGTGGACATTTTCCAACATTTTTAAGATTACTGAGTACTTAAAAATTACATAAAAAAAAGGTGCTCACCTGCCATTTTCTTAAATTAATGTTTTAACAGATAAAGTCTCTGTAGAACAACAGTAAAGTTGTTGCTAGATTTTATCATCACTTGTCAAGTGATCTACGAGTGACAAGTGACGGTGATAAGTGTGTAATCACTGCTACCATTTGTTTTAAAAATCCATTTTGCTGTTATTTTAAACTTAAAGTAAATAATACTTTTTTCAAACCAGATAAATTATACTTCAAATCAGCTAATATTCCACAAATAAAATTTCATAAAGTATATATTATTTTTGGAAGATTTTTAAAACCAAGAATTAACTTTGCTTTACAAATGTATCAAAAATGCCTGATTTTGTGAAAGCGACCAAAAAGTGGAGATTCCAATCAATATAATTTCTATTTGAAATACACCAGAGTATTTTGCTTACTGGAAATAGTAAATTTAATCATTTAGCTTTCAATTAAAGCTAAAATGAAAGCTTCAGGAATGCTTTTTCATTTTTTTAAATTCATTTTAAACATTAGGTATCAAAAATTTAGTGGGGGTACCTATATAATAGCCTTGTTTTATCAGTAATGCTTGCATTCATTCCTAACTACTGACAATCCTTTTCTTCCTATTTTTTCAATGCATTCCTATAGTAAAATCATTAGCAATGCATTTACATTATATTGAGTTAGGAGAAAAGTTTGTAAAGTTTTTCAATGGGTGGCATTTGAACATATAATTTAATTTCATACATGACTGAAATTCATGACCTATATACATATTTTGAAAGGTAATATTTCAACATGTCTTTTTATACAATTGATTCATGTTCGGATTGTGAATGGCTTTACTTTAAAAGTGAAAACAGATGAAAACAAGACACCTTTTTGTCACTCGATGCTCTTTCATTTTAGGAGAGGAAAAATACTGTACAAAAAGGAAAAAAAAAAAAGATATGTGCCATTTATGGAAATGATGCCATATCTGTGAGTACTGTCCATAAAGGTGTTGGTTAGATCTAGTGACAGGACCCAAAGAGTGTAAAATCAATACCCAGTTAAGGCAGTGGAGAACTTGGAGAGGGGAATTAACAAGAGATAACTAACATCCATTAGACATGGCACATGGAACTAGAACAGTCTACCCCAGTGAGCGAAATAAAGAGTTCAGTTTGACATTCCAACCACACGAAGAAAGCTGGAGCATATAACAGCTGAAACATTGTAATAAAGTACTGTCCATAAAGGTGTTGGTTAGATCCAGTGACAGGACCCAAAGAGTGTGAAATCAATACCCAGTTAAGGCAGTGGAGAACTTGGAGAGGGGAATTAACAAGAGATAACTGACATCCATTAGACATGGCATGTGGAACTAGAACAGTCTACCCCAGTGAGCGAAATAAAGAGTTCAGTTCAACATTCCAACCACACGAAGAAAGCTGGAGCATACAACAGCTGAAACATTGTAATAAATATGGCGACAAAGATGAGGACAATTGTCTGAATAATGTAAATTGGGAAAAAAAAAAAAAAATTTTAAGAAATCACATCATATTAGCATATTTCTCTTGTGATGTTCTTTTATGTTTACTCTGTACGAGGCCCAAGAGCCAATGAAGGTTGAGGAATACAGAGTAAGAGACACCACCCCAAGCAAAGCAATAATGCTTCCAATTTGCAAGAGGCCACCCGAAGTGAAAGAGCAAGAAAAGACTTTAGAGGGAACTGGACACCGAATCCTCGACAGGAAACAAGGGCTAAGCCTCTACTCCTATTTACATTGTGCAGAAAGGTGCCCTCATCCTTGTTGTCATATTCATGATGTTTCAGGATAGATTGTTCTAGTTCCACATGCCATGCCTCTTCCAGATATCTTAGTTTCAGTTATTTCTCATTAGTAACTCAACTCTCCAAGTTTTTGTTCACCTCTGCTGTCACCAGGTATTGAACTCACAACTCTTTGGGTCAAGTCACTGGATTACTTCAACCAATGCTTTTATCCACTAGGCCATATGTTCTTAGGGAACTAGAACAATCTACCTCAGAATTCAGTTGAAAATTCCAATTAACTGAAGAAAGTCAGAGGGTAAAACAGTCCGAACAATGTAAATAGTTACCTCATCTCAGAAATATAGAAGATCCTGAAGAAGGCCGGGGTGTACAATGACTGAAGCATCATGAATAGGGCAACAAAGATGAGGGCAACAGTCTAAACAATGTAAATTGTGTAAATAGTTACAATACCTCATCTCAGAAATATAGTCAGATCCTGAAGATGGCTGGAGCATACAACGGCTGAAATGTTGTGAATATGGCAACAAAGATAAGGACAACAGTCTGAACAATGTAAAATGTTACAATAACTCATCTTAGAAACAGACAGATCCTGAAGAAGAATGAATTTACATAGCAAGCTCGATGCCCTGATTAACTTTTATAAAATTTAAAAAAAAAAAATTTTTTTTTTTGATATTTGTGAACTGGTTTACTCTATGGTAACATAAAAAAAAAAAATGTTGAAAAATATGATTATTTGTGGTTGCCATGCCTACTGTGCAGCTCCACCCAGAGTTCAAGACAGTCTTTTTTTAACTGAATAACTCAC